TAATATCATCCCAACAGATCCTACACATTTTCCCTAATTGTTAATATTATCCCTGACGTTCTCGAGTATAGTCATACCAAAATATTAATTCTCCACCTGCATCAAAATAGTAGCCTTGAATGAGATTCAGATCATAATCGATCCTAATATCTTTACCAAAAATTCTTAAAGAATTAACACCAGAATAAACCTTTAGAACATTCCAATTGACTAGTTCGCTTTACCTAATGGAAATAACTATAAATACACTACCCTATTAGTTCGATTGCGAAAATATCGACTCCAACTATGAAAAAGTTAAATGCGGGCTATTTTTAAATCTCTAGGACACTCAGTAACAACAAAGATATACCCATTATACAATATAAAAAATAAACATTTTCTTCCCCTATTCATGGAAAATTATTAATTTAATTAATCGAAACATAATTTAGGAAGATTTTGGCAAACACTCGAAGATCCATAGAAAAGCAAAACTAAATAAATTATCAAGAGTAGTTAAAAATAAATTGAACACCGCTACACTTCTTTTTGCAGTTTATTAAACCCAATTGATTACAAACTCAGCAAATCTATGAATACAAAAAAAGAAATCATAGTTATAAAAACGGAAATATCGAATTAAATTGTGAACAATAAGTACTGCTTCAGATTTTGATAGGCAAAGTCATTGATCATTTACAAAATATTTAGACCCACCTCCAACAATAATACACACAACAATAAATTGAAATTTATGAAACAACCTACTAATTACACCGGAACCAATTAAAGGTTTAATATTCACCGTCTGAAACGGCCAATACCATTAACATTTAAACAAACGAATCACCTGTATTGATGAATCAGTATAAGATGCATCAAACATTCAAAAACTCGGTTCGACTTACTGCAATTTTTAATGCCATCTTTACGGTTTAATTATTCCTTCTGCCTGGAAACTTGCATTGTTCTTCCCTTTCGCAAAGCCAGGAAAAATTCCTCGACTCCTGAAATACAGACCAATAAGTCTCCTGTCCCTCAATTTCCAGATTTTGAAAACTTCTACTAAAGAACAAACTTAAGTATCTGAGAGACACGGATGCAATACCAGATATTTCAGGCAAAATTCACTCTGCATCACCAGCTGCTAAGGCTTACTGAGTACATTGCACAGCAGCTTCCAAGAAAAACCATTACTTTGGCTCATTGCTGGTAGTTGCACAAGGCGTCGACAGAGTCTGGCATACCGGTCGTTATTTAAATAAGACACTTGGACCCTGAGTATATTCAGAATATTATTAAGGCTGTATCACTGATAGGAAAATTTAAGTCAAAATTAATATCCCTTTTCTACTCTTCGTTAATATGACAGCCGCGTTCCTCGGGCTCAGTCCTCAGCTATTTTATTTAATACTTCGTGATGACATACCAGTAATTCCCAACGTGAAACTGGCTCTTTTTCGCTTGACCGATACTGCATCTGTTTTTCAGCAGCTCAATATTACCCTAGCATTAATAGGTTCAGAATAATATACACACCTAATGACAATGGATACCAAAAAAATGGAGAATCGCATCATTTTCACAAATGTCAGACTAAGATATTTACTCTTAGGGAGACCTCGAAAAACCTCCAGACTGAAAATAGATGACACCGAAATACATTGGAAATACTGAACCAATTAAAGTTCTTGGAGTATTGTTAGACAAGAAACTTCTCGGGAACCGAATATTCACGCAGCTTCAACAAATTCAAGCTAAGAATATTACTAACCCATTACCCCCTCTTATTCAACATTTCAACATATCCGCGCAATCCGGCCGAAAAACCGCCAGTCAATACAAATGCCGGATTCTAATTATATAATCTATTATCTACTCCACACTACATTATGCTGCCCATGTGGGGACGCTGCTTCCAACACATACAAAAATCGCCAAATTGTCCAAAATAAATCCTCAGGAAAAGAATTAAACTCCTGTTTTATACCTACAACAATCAAGATACTCACGAATGAACAGTTCTCGCACATTAAAAGTAGCAAATAATTTTATTTTCCCTCCTTCCATCTCTTCCCCTGAAATTTCACCTGGTCGAACAGCAAACATTCCAAGCCGATCAAATCCAAAATTCCCCAAGACTGCTTTAAACTCCCAACCATATATTCTCCCGGTATCTAAATAGAATCTTTCACGTTCCCTTTCCTATTGCTCGATAGGCAATCCTAACAACCTACCCCCTCTCAAAAAAAAAAAAATCAAAAATAAATCCCATCTGCTTCTAAAGAACCAACGAATTTAAACGGGTCAGAGTACTTAATCTCAATTTGTCAGAATGCCCAGATCCATAAATGTCAGTTATTAATAACCGACCTCGAAAGACCTTTGGTCGAACGAGAAGAAATAAATTAAAAAAAAAAAAAAAAATAACCATGGGCAGTGAAGTGATGAAAGTTAAGAAGCTCGAGACGCCACAAATCCCTGAGACACCGTCCGCGAAGCGATACAAATGGTTAAGAAACGCTGGCTGATAGGAATAAAAGGTAATCATTTTCAACTTGGCATATGACTGACATGTTCAAGAAGGGGTAGTCCACGTTCAACGCCAAAAAAGACTTGGAGCGTGGTTTCATAAGTAGCAGAATTCTAAGAAATGTATTGCTTATTTTTTCAATTCACGTGTTACAAATATATATTTTACTCAATTTAACTTTTGGAGTCATTAACATATTAGAACATCAATATTATTCTGTTTTTATGATATTCAATCATTCATTCATTCATTCACTTATTCTTTAGCATATACTTTAGTATAGAGAAGAAAAGTAGTAATTATTGCGGTTTGGGTCTCTATTGCAAGAGCTGTAACGTTTTCCGTTTGATGACTTGGCCCGTCCACATGTGCAAAGGATTGCGAGTCAAGGGTTCATTTTTCCTTGGCGTACGTCCTGGAGGTCCTCTCAGCATTTTCAAACGCGAGAAGCCGCCGTTTTAGCGTTTCTATTGAGGGAGAATGTTTGTAGTTGATCTGCTTTTCCAATTGATGGTTTGCAGTTCCTTTGACTTTCTTTTACGAACAGAATATTATATGTAACTGATGCGTCGCTTTTTGTAACATTATAACTACCAAATAGCTCCTAGTGAATACAAACGGTACTTATCTCGGTATTTTTTCTAAATAAAAAAGTAGATACCAAATTAGGTCTTCAGTATCATTAAAAATACTTTCTAGGCTGGATGGCCGTGGTCGTTCTATGCCCAAACATTTCGTGTGCACTGCGGAAGACATCTTCAGTGGCAGATGGGTACACGCAGTGTCCAGATAGCTCACAGGTGACTGGCAAACATATGTTCTTGTTTTCGGCGCTAGAACGCTGGTGATTGTCGGCTGGGGGGCTGGTGTCGGCTGTGACGTACGGACGGTTTAGGCTTTACCCGACGGAGTGCGGGTATTCATATCGAGTGGTCTTTTATTTCTTCCTCCTTCCTATTAAAATATGAAAGATGTTATGAATCTCAAAGACCTCACGGTGTAGACGGAATGTCCGATAGACCACGGCCATACAGCCCGAAAGGTATTTTTAATAGTATATCCAGCCGGGAAAGTCTACATTGCTTTATTGACCTCTTCTGTGTTCAATTTAATCTCTAAAAGTGCACCGTCGATGCTTCAGAAATATGGCACATCTACAGTAATCGTTATTTACGAATTAAACGAATAAATATGTTTAGGGTATAGTATATATTTACTAGTAAATATTTCGGAAACATTTCACAAGTAGTCTAGTATCGTGATATGAAGTGTATATAGATCCCTCGGATCTATATACACTTCATCTCACTTCAGTACACTTCATCTCACCCGACACCAGACCTCGGAGGAAAACCATTCTGAGTCGAGGGAAAACCAAATTCGGGTAAACTCAAGTCAACGACAAAACACCAGTAAATTATAATGTCCCCCAGAAGTTCACGGTGCGTAAGTTCATTATCAGATTCTGAATCGAGACTCCGCGCCCGAGTTTTCTTCCGCTTAACGACCCAATTGTTCTTGTTGAATAACCAAAGTTCATTTCAAGGGACAAGAAGATTAAGGACTCATTCATTTTACTTCTCGACAAAATGTTTCTTCATATTGCCCTATGAAGCTGACAAATGTTATTTTAAAACACGGTCACGTAAACGTTTGGTGAACTATATTAAAGAATCGTTAATTGAAAATGGAAAAATTAAATGTTTTCCTAAAACAATAGGGAGTCCATAACTGCAATGTTGATGATAGAGCCTTTTTAATGAAATCGTTATTCAAAATTAAATAATTCAATAAGATCATGTATATGTTTGCAAATCACTAGCAGATTTGGCTTCATTTTCCGTGAAAGAAAGATTACATTAAAGCAACAGAAGAAGATGTTAAAAAACGGCTCAATGTATTTCTTCACTTTTCTTCGAATAGAGTCAAGTAATGAAACAAAAACGTAAGTTTTTAATTATTAGGAAAATCTGTTTTATTCTAATTTAAAATATCAATTACAATCACGATAAAAAATTTCAGATTCGATACATTTTATTTATTTGCTTTACGAACCATGATTTGATATTTAGTTAGCTATAAAATTGTTTATACAAGTACTTATATTCAGTAAACATTGCAAGAAATGACGAGAATTCATTCATGGCAACTCAGTACAACTATTTGTAATGTACTTATAAATATGACACACAATAACTTATCACATGTTCTTTCAAAGGTCGGAATTTTACATGCGCATGGAAACTTTTAGTTCGAAATATCGATATCCAAATGATTTGATGGATTTTCCTACACACACACACACACACACACACACACACACATACACGGATATACAAGGATCCTAAAACTTTTTTTTTCTCTTTAGATGATAGCATATTTTCTATGAAGCATGTATTTAATTCATTATACATATTATTAGAATGTGCTATAGTCATTACATTCTTTAATTGTCACAAATAACACTTGTCTTTTTCATTTTCAGGTATGTCAGACCAACATCACTACATCACGCTTCTTGAATTTATTTGTAAGTACAAGAATATTATTAATCAGTTACATGTTTTAATTGTATTGTATATTATGCATTTAACTTTCAAGAAGAATATTTGTCTTAATGCTTGTACCTTTTCTCTTAAACGTGATATTTCAATTATGTAATAAATGCGATTTATCATTATATACCAGTGAGAATTTCATTTTCGAAATCGCAAATAGATATTTCGTTTTTATCATATTGTCTGTGCACAAGAAAATAGAGTTATGTAAGAGAATTTCCCACGATTACATTTTGGTTTTCATTTACTTACAGTCGTATCGATGATTGGGTTAAAGGCAACTATAATTGTACTTAAAAGGTAATATTTTATAGGAAAGAATATGATTATAATGTACTTTCACCCTCTCATTACAATACCACACTTTTATTCATACTTCTCTAAATAACTTCCAATTCATTAAGCAACTTCACACTTTTGAAAAAACATTGTAACTTTCCTTGTATGTCGTCCAAAAATATCTTAATTTTACGAGAGTTTTTACCCGAGCACAGCCATTTATTTCGCTATCAAAGATAATGTTTTACTGGTATACACAAGCAAGAAACTGCTGAGAATTTTGCGTGCGCAAGCTACCTTACGAGTGTAAATGCCCTGCTTTTTTAATAATTCATTGATGATCACGTGCGCATCAATCACTCAGGTCATTACTTCTAAGTTTAGTGCATTCTTCTATCGCGGTAGATGGCGGTGTTTTCCTTCCCCCTGAGTGGCGAGATACAGGCAACCTACAACAGTTTCTGGAAATTTTCCTCAACCAGGTATCTCCCACAACTGGGGTCCCGCTCAGCCAGGACAAGCGCTAACTCGACAGGTGTGTTAGTGTACTGCATATACGTGTGTGATTAAAAGGAGAGGATAAGAAGAAAGAAAAGATCGGGTTCGTGGCCCGTTTGTTAGGATATTTCTCCATCATTCGCTGGTGTTGATCGGGGAAACCTCGTAAAACTACTGGACAGAACAGTCGACCACTAGACGTTTCCTCCACACGGCGGCCAAATTTCTACCCATCCGCCCTTGACCTAGCTGACAAGCTACTGTCGAAACGTTCTGCGAACGTCGGGACTCGAACTTTAGAATCTCCTGGTCAGAGGAAATACAGTGACATCAATTATTGCCCTGACCCACCTTTACCGGTAAATGCCCTAGTCTGTTACTCTTCTGTCAGCTGCCAACTTGACTTTCTCTACGTTCCGCAAGAAGGTTGAACGCCAGTTTCTAGACGTAGCTCCAACGCTTGATTAATATAGAATTTCCGCCAAGTACTTGCAAGCTTGCTCAACATTGTGCTGTGCATCATTGCCAATAACGTCCGAAATGGGAGACGCTAGAGGTTCCGCATCAAGGGAAATCATGAATAGCATCTGTTTTTCTCGCACTTTATTAAATTTTGTTTCATATTTTATAATATGCAAAATTTCGCTTTATTTAACACTTGCGTTATCTGCTTACAGTGTTTTGTTTTGTGGTTAATGATGAAATAACTTTTTATAGTTACTGTGGTCTACTGAGAATACGCTGAAATTTATCCAAATGATAAAAACTAGCCCAATCCACTGGGAGGTAAAAGCAAATGATTATAGAAATGGAACAATGCGAAATGCCTCTGCAAATTGACGGTTTTTGCTACTGCCCAGAGAAAAGTGGCAAGAAAATTTGAAACAGGAATTTTCTGAAAAAATAAAATAATAACATTAAAAATAATTGTAATATAAATAATAGTAATAATAATATTCTACATTATAGGGTTTACGCAAAAGTTTTCCTAACTGCGGACAATTTTTCTTAAATCATAAAACAATTCACGTCACTTCAATGCTACGCTACCCTTAGTAACACAAATTACACTTCAGCCGTTTGTCATATTCCACTAAAGCTGTAACATGCGTAACACCAGTGGAAGTGTTAAAACAATTGCTTTTCGGAATAAAATGACTGCTTATGATAATATGGACTGCATTGTGTCTACTGGAGATACTGTAGGCACGCTAGTGGTCCCTGGCACCATTGCCTGGAAATCCGCCCTCCGCTAACCTCCTGTCCTAATGCTCGTCATAAGCACGAGTATTTTATAAACCAGTGGCCCTGAAACAGCCTTTTTACTCGCCCTTAGTAATGGTTCTGTAATACTATCTACACTGCAATTTCTCTGCAAATTAACGAATCTTGGTCATTTTTTTGTAAATATCATTTCAAATTGTAAAATATTAGTGCGGGCTCCTTGGTCCGATGTCAGCAGACACACAAGGCCTTCCGCGACAACAGACATATATGAAAATAATCATGCCCACAGTGGAACTCGAAGCCGCGACCCTTCAGACCGAAGCACTGGGTCGGCACATGCTCTAGTCACCGCGACCATCTAGGTCGGCGATTATTACAACTGCGTTTTATACAGCTATATCGTGTCTCAGCAATGAGAAGTAATTCACAGAACTGTAGCTGCCGTCTCGCGGAGTGGAATATCATTCTCGCATTCCAATATGATATTTACTGGTGGGTAGCTTCTTTTACATTACATTTAAATTGTAATTTTAAGAGAAAAGTCCTAATTAGGCTAATTTCAATTAAGGTTTACGGATTGCTTGAAAGAAAATACAACAATACATTGAGAATGCCAATACATTCCTCGCAACACGAACAAAAAAAATATGAATTATCAAATAGGTTTTTAATCATTTCTAAATGATTTTGTAAACGTATAACAAACGCTCTAATGTTAGACACAAACAAAGAAATATACAATAACATACAACTTGTAACTTACGTGATATCCTAATGCCGCGAATCACTTCTTAAATTACGTTCCCGAAGCATAAAAAATTCGAAGCGGGCGATTATGTTTGAGGCCAAATTACACAAACAATACTTATATTTTCGAAATCTTGAAAGTGACCTTATTTGAAGATCGTTTTTTGATGAACACATTTCATTAAGAATAAAAATTGTACCTTTACAATTGTTGTTGTAGTAAGACGCCTAAAACTTTTCTATTTTTTTCTCTTTTCGAAAAATCAGGAATTTTAACAAACATGGCAACTGCACTTAAGCGGCCTTTGCTCTACGTAAGGTCAAAATTTAATTTATAAAAATTCTTTCGTTTTAACATAAAGTTATTTAAAGAAAATAAAAGTTGCTTTTATTTCACACAAAATTTCTCATATTACCACAAATACTCATATTATCGAAAAATTTAACATAGCATTTGCAGATCCCCACTCTCAATAGCATGATAGTTTCCTTTTTCCGAATGCAGTTGCGCTGGGAAGTACATGGCATGCCACAAAGCGAGCCATTGCCACCAGTAAAAGTCCTTGACATCCCTGGCTTAGAGCTTGTCCCGGTTGGGGCAGCTGGGGAAAAACCCGCAACAAGTAAGTCGGCGTTAGATTTTTCCAACCAGCCAAAATACCATCGCCACCTTCTGTAATAAAAACATACACTATGTGATCAAAAGTATTCGGACACGTAGCTGAAAATGACTTACCAGTTTGTGGTGCTGGAATTCAATAGGGTGCCGGCCCACCCTTAGCTTTGATGACCGCTTCCACTCTCGCAGGCATACTTTCTGTTAGGTGCTGGAAGGTTTCTTGAGGAATGGCAGCCCATTCTTGAATGAGGAATGCAGCACTGAGGAGAGGTATCGATGTAGATCAGTGAAGCCTGTCTCGAAGTCGGCGTTCCATAATAACCCAAAAGTGTTCGATAAGATTCAACTCGAGCCCTGTGCAGGCTAGTTCATTACATGGAGGACATTGTCGTTTAACCTCTCTACCACAGTTTGCGCAGTATGAACAGGTGCTCGATCGTGTAGAAAGATGCAATCGCCATCTCTGAATTGCTCTTTAACAGTGAAAAGCAAGATGGTGTTTAAAACATCAACTGTGTCGTAATAGTGCCACACAAAACAAAAGTCTCCTTCATAAAACACATGACTACACCATAACACCATTTTAGACATGTCTAGATACTTTTGATACTTAGTGTACACTCCCGGGGCTCATGACCTCAAGAGTTAACACGCTGGGAATTACTAATCAATCAAACCAGCTTTTTTTAAATAGTAAATCTCGTGTACATCCGTGCCTCCCGTCCTCAACAGCCGCACCGTCCTCTGGCACCCTCCGTCCTCGCTCGCCATGGGCGGTGTCCTCGCCGTCCGCAAAGAATCCTCGCCCGTCTCGCGCCATTGTTTCCGCTACTCATCGATTCTCCACCCGCCCAGGCACCCCGTTGAGCGTTCGCTGCCGGTGACACTTCTTTTTCGCGTCGCTCCTGCCCCTCTCTCCCTCCCCCCTCTTCGCCTCTCGCCACCATCGGCAGCAGCTGAAGAGCAGCTCTATTATTGAAGTGAAACTTCTTATGCAGCATTAACTGTGGTTGAGTATAAAAACATCTCGTCTCAAAAATGCGTCGCTGAACGTTCAATACGGTTACGAAAACTAAAAGTTGACGCATTCACGACAAAAAAAGGGCATATTTTTACTGGAATTGAATCGAATTTCTTCTGGCATTTAATTTTTCAGTGCTGACATTTAATTTTTGGTTCCCTTTCATTTGTTTCCGTTCCAATAATTGGTGTTGAAATGGAATATGTATGTTGTATTTTATTTTTTGCCTACTACATTTTTAAGTGGCAAAGATAATGTAAAGTTTTAACTTGTGTTAAGTTGTCACTTACCGCTATAATATTACAGTAATAATGTTAAAGCGGCGAGTGACAACTTTTCGTCAGAAAAACACGTCTTTCGGGGCCCTGTTATAAAATGGTGGATTCTTATTGTTGCTTTTAGTAGTAAATTACTCTGATTTTTTGAAAATTGTCAAAGTTACAAATAAAGCTAAAAATTATATTATCTATTTATGTTTTATATGTGCTACTATTTTTTGATGACAAAGACAGGAATAACGAACGATAGCATAATTTCATTGAAGGCTCACTACTCCTATGGTAAGAGGTCAGCTCTAGCGTAACAAATTAAACATTGCGCTCTTCGCCATATTGTAGACAAATGCGGGCGCAGTCATATACTAGACAAATGTGGGCGCAGTATCTCATCGCTCAGTCACGGGATAGTAGGGATTTAAACTCCGAAAATTACATTGCAAATGGTCCTGTAATAAAGAAATGCTCTTTTTCTTTTTTTAAGAACACCTTAATTGGAAATAACTCGTGATGTTTGACTTGCAATTGTTGCCATTTCAATACATATTGAATAAATGTTATATTATTATTATTATTATTATTATTATTATTATTATTGCAGTATGTTAGTGTAATTACAATTACTAATATTTCTTTAGATAAGGGGAACAGAACAAAAACTTTGAAAATAATGAACTGTAAATAAAAAATACTTGGTCTAATATTGTATGTGTCACATGTTACATAAGGCTAGTAACCACAAAATGAGTTAACAAAGCTTCTGTCAGATACCCTCACAAACATAAGTATTTTTAAATAGCATTCTTTCTCATTAACGAACAGGTTCAAAACAAACATACGATCCCAAAAAGAATTTCAACTATAATACGTGTCAAATGCCTTCCGGAGCAAATGCATAATTTCTTTTACTGAAGGAGAGATTCAAATTATTTTCTTTAAAGTAAATGTGACTTAAATAAAGCTTGGAACACAACTTAATTATCAAGAATGCTGTATAACACGAACAAGTTTTCAAATTAATAAATTACTTACTTTACGTAAATAAAGTATATTCATATATCCTTAGAGAGTGTGCAAATAAGACCAAATTAAAGCATGCATGTCATTTAAATACATACACTCTTATGTTACTAAATGAAACATAAATCTTCGATGTATCCGTTGGATTTTTGAAAGTTTGCTTTCCATTACCCTAATTCTACTTCATTTTGTTCTCTAGGTCACAAGACTATGAAACAAAGCTCTCGTATATTTTTATTGATACATAAATAATAGTCTTTGTACAGCAAGAAAAAATCCCCGCAGAGCAATAATATACATGGAAAATACCCATAACTATCGTCACTTACGGACGCACAACATGCCTGCCAGTGGAATAGTTGCCTACAATAGGGCGCAGTGAGAGCCTTCAATTTGTAACGCTAAACTAGTGCTGTATTTGTCTCAATATAATACTATCCAATGTCTTCTATTTCATTCGTAATTCAGTTTCTTTGTTTCACCGATTCCATAGACTCGCTGGAATATTATTGAAGTGTATTGATTGTTACTGCAGAAATGCTAAGAGATTTGTTTCCTGTGTAATCATATTGTAAAATGTTGTGAAAGCTTACTCAGTTATTATCTTAAGAAATGGGAAATATTTCTTCGAGAGCGCATCCAAGAATGTGTAACATAATTTTTCACAATAGCTTAGGAATGACAACCAGACATTTTATTCCCTGTTGCTACAATGTTACTTATATCGTTGTGAAACATCCTAAGTTAATAAATCTCTTAAAAATATAATGATTAATGTTACTGATTTTGTGAAGCAGATAATCAGACAATCACAGTTGTGTGTCATTTGTATATTATGCAACTAAAATTGTATTCCATATATGTGTTTGCCCTGTTTTAGTGAGTCAGTAGTAAGCTAGTCATAAATTAATTTTATTCCCTCCTTTCAGACAACTTTTTAGATGCTAATGATAAAAATTACGTGATAATTTTAAGCTCAGCAAATAACGATTGAAAAAAATTTTAGTGCAAAAAACGGTAGAAATACTCTTTATAACCAGAATAATCAGATACGTTGAAATTTAAATTCGATATTTTAATAAATAATGTACATGTTGCGTATTACGTTGCAGTGGAAAAGTATTAAAGCTGATATATTAGATTCTATAAAACAACGTTCTATTGTTTTGAAATTGTTAAAAACATTTTATTGGATCAACTACATGCTATTTATTGGAAAAAATCATATAAAGATGCAATTGCTATTTAAGTCGTGCCAGAATGACCACCGCAGGCAGAAATTTGTGATCTTCTGATATAGATGTCTCAAAGTAAAGGTTACCAACATCTAAAACGTATAGAGGGATAAAAATTATTACATCTTATCGATAAATTTATAATTGAAAATTTTATATAATGACGCTACATATGTGACATTTACCTCCAATTAGTAGGGATGCACAAATGATCATCAGGAGCAGTGTAACGAGGCTATAGAATTATGCGTGACTACCGAATTCAATTCAGTTTGGTGCCTTGGCGAGGCACAGTCCATTAGGCCTGCTCTTCCGCCTGACCATGGAAATTTTGTTAGGCACCTTAGGCAAAATAAGGTACTATTCGGGTGTCGAAACAGGAGATCTTAATTTAGTTCAGAAGCTTCTTTTAGGCTTGACGATCTTACATAAGTAGTAAATCTACAAGATGGGAGTGCCGAGTTTTCTTCGTCCCCGAAACGTCGCCGAATATTTTACCTTTAAACTCCAAGCTTTTGATCGGTTTTGAAACCGCGAACTTGTGTAAAACTGTTCAATATGTTAGCCGTTACACCACCAAAACCGAAGCCGTACAGTGGTGCGTAAGAAGTTACCCAACATTTAGCATGAAATATCTCAGTTTTAGTATAGAATGTGACTATGTGTTGCTTGACCAAAGATGATTATCAGTAAAGAGATTAAAAAATACTATGTATAATTCATTCGGGAGTTCAAATCCTGCCACGCTACCTCAGCTGGATTAACGGCACACCTGTTCAGATTATGTTCGAGCTGTGATTGGTGGACTAGAAAATACTTCATTTATTAAGTTTCCCCTGCATCGTACAGGTCATTTGCTTGGCTTTGGCAGTGTGTAGTCTCTGTGTTCGCGAGGAAAAGAATAAGCCTGGCTGTTCCAAATCGTACCCGGCTGCGTCGCATGCTGTGAGGGTCTGCTCATAGTAATACATAATTTTGTTCTTACTACGCCGCGTCGCTTGGTGTGTGCTCATGCTCAGAGCTGTGCGTGATTTTGTTCTTACTGCGCCGCTTCGCTGGGGGTGTGCGCATAATCAAAGCTCACAAGATTTTGTTATTTTTGTTTCTCATCGCCTTCTATACGAGCCTGGTCAAAACGGCATAGTTTTGTACTTCTCGCGCCACGCCACGTCGCTTGCTGTGCGCGCACAGATGTGCATGCGTTTGTTCGTAAGAACAAATGCGCAGTAATTCACCGTGTCGCTTAAGCTCCATTCACTATGCAAACGTAAACATAAGCAAAGCGCATTGACATAAATATCAACATAAGTGATAAACTGAAGTATTCACAACGTCTAACATAAACGTAAGCAAAATAAAAGTTTCTATTGGCTGCGAGACATTCTGGTTTAATATTGGTGGGAAGTGAGAATCGATTTCAAGATATCGACTGTGTTCATGGCCCTTGGTGTCAGTTCTTCTAACGCATTCGCTCCAATTTTGATTCTCAATTTTGAGTTACCGTTCTATGATTGGTTCATTTCTTTCGTCTTTCTTAAACAAACACGGAAACGTGAAGCTTGCAAGCTTTTGAGTTAACGTCTTATGTGTTATGTTTATGCGAACGCATTGTGAATGAGTCCGCTTACGGACGTAGTCCTAACTTTTATGTTAACGCCATGCTTATGTTTATTTTTGCATTGCGATGAGGCTTTTAATGTATGCGCCCTTACACAGCTATCCATGATTCCACTGCGTTTGGCCTGTGTTCTATCCTTAGTACGGTAGTATGCATCCTCAGTGGCTGATGCGGGAAGCCTCAGTATTCGCCTCGGCGCTCCTGTAGCCCCCTCCGCCCACCTCCATCCGAATTCTCCGCCCGCGCGGCCTGCGCTCCCGGTTCGTTACTCACTCGCCTCCCCTCCATCGCAGTGGAGCCAACCCAACGGCCTTAGGGGATGCACCTGAGACGGGGGATTTCGTGCGCAAGGATGTTTTCATGGCACAAATCAGGGTAGGTAGTATTTAAGGTAATATGTTCGTACAATCAACCACGCTGAAGTAGCCCCCCAAAAATGCGAAATGAATGTCGGTACCACGAGAAAAGTTTTTCATTTTTTTTAATATTTTAATTTTTTTTAGAAGACAAAAAATGTACATTGTAAACTCATAATATGTTTCTATAAAGTTACGCAAGAGGAATGTACGTCATCATGAAACCTAAAATAACATCTTACTTTGCAACAACTAATGGATAGACCCCTGAAATACACCACACAGGCGCTCACTATTGCATCAAAGCAGCTGTCAAGGGACAGTTTCTACGATAACTCTCAAAAGAAAAAAACACTGTCAGCACATAAATATTTTAATCAACTTGCAGTGCAGGTTTCCGCAGTTGTCATTTGTCTTTTCACATTTTATGAAAGTTAGTACGATTACAATGTGTGAATAATGATGAGAGATGATTCATTACACATCCACACAAAAAACATTGTGTTCGTGTCTGGAGATCAGACCATATTTTCTAACTGATTTTGGGGTCCCTAAATCCGAATCCGGTGTCCATTTCACTCCCTCGTCAGGTAATATTTCTAACCGAGGAGTCAGACCATGTTACCTATGTTTTTAAGGTTGCTGAAACCAAATCTCAAGTTCATTTATCTTCTGCAAATCATATTTTTCACAAAAACTCAAAATATTTTTTAAAAAAAACTTTGCTTGGAGAGGTTAGTGATCTAACAACAACGATATAGGCAATCTGCCTTACAACAACGTGATGAGCGTTGTCCCGCTAGGGGCCAATGTCACTTCCTCTATTAATTATTATTTATCTGAGTTTTAAAAAAATGTAATGTGAAATTGATTGGACTTCAGATTCGTTTTCAGAGACCCCAAAAACATATAAATAAGTCTGACCCCTCGGTTGGAAATATCATTCATTTTTATGTTTTTTGTGTTTATCTCAAAAACCTGATGTGATGGAGTAAAATGAACATCGGATTCGGATTTAGCGACCCACAAAACATACAGAAAATAATAATGCCAGATCTTCAGACACGAACACATTTTTCTTTTGAGTGGCTGTGTTATTAGTGGCATACGTTCAGTGAAGATACGAGCTGTTTTATTGGGTTCGGAGGAGATACGAACATTTAAATTTACCCTAATTCATCAATTTTCAAACCTTTGCCCACACGCGTGGAATTTCTCTCCACTGTGAGATGCGGCTCGATTTCTTATGTATGAAACCTGTCTTCCTTTCCGAACCGCTTTCTTTCCCAAGTTCTTCGATCACAGACGTCGACGGGGGCAGGTGAGAGGGCGACTCAATCAAAAGGAACAAAGGGAGGAGAACAGAGGGAGTGAGACACCG